TTCGGAAAACAATTATGAATCGTCATTTGCGGGTGCAAACAACGAGCAAGCAGTTGACAAAAAGAATCTTCCGGGGGTGGGGAAGAGTTTTAATTCGTGTTAGTGTAGCCGCATCACGAGTTCCCCGTCGTGAAGATGTTCTTCAGCGGTACCATGAAAATTCTGCTAGTCAACTTGAAATATTAAGAAATAAAATATTTGGACTTGCAATATCTGGACATCTTCCAATACGTGAAGGGTTTGCAAGAAAAGTATCAAAAATTACAGAAAAAACATTTCAAAGTAGAGAGGGTCATTCACTAAAATGCTGTCATATTATATTGCATTCTTTGTTCGAGCCAAAAATGTTTATCCTTGAAGGAAGTTTAAGTGTTGCGTAGAAACCCCCGCCACACACATGCGGGAGCTGTAACAGGAGCTTTATCAACAAACCCATATCAAATTTCTCTCTCGCTGTTTTAAAAATGACAACTATAAACAAAAAAATTTGAAATCAGTTGGAGACGAATTTTGCGCGATCTAATCCTGCCATTGAAAATCGGACTTCAGAAACTTTCATATGAAGTGTAGTGTTTGACGAATAACGTCCTGAAGAATAAAAAAAAAATTGTAACTATGTTTGAATTCAAATAAAATGTAGATAAATTTCCAGTCTTTTAAGAATGGAGTAATAACCGTGATACATGAACGAAGAGGCAAAAATTACTCCAAAGAAGTGTCATAATCTCCTTAATATCATATTTCTGTCCCAAGTTTTCGCCCGTAGGGCGTGTGAGGCGAGAGAAAAAAACAGTCTTGACTAGCTCTCTGTTTTCAGCCTCTTTCCAGACCTTTTGTTTGACTGCTCGCGCGTACTTGAATACGCAGAAATACGGACTGTTTTGCAGTCTATTGTCGGGCCAACAATGTTGGGAGTTGTTGCGTCCGTTTGTACATAGCTAAGAGCTTGACCGGTTCCAAACTTTGCGCATAGCTGAACGTCTGCGTCGGATGCATTATCAATGAAATTTTCTGTGGCAATCAGCGTCATCACGAGGCGACTTTTATAGAGAATTCTATAGAATCTGGGGTGTGAGTGGCGCCCCACAGAGTTTGAGGTTAGTAGACGAGACTGATTATGAAAGCCGGCAATCATCAAGGTTAAAAACAAGAGTGCTGCGCTTTAAGTTACTTTGCAAGACACAAATAAGACATCAATAGAACAGCGGGCTTATCGTAGCCGTTGACTGCTGTTTCGCCATAATTGTGGTTCGTCAGAACGCCGTTACAAACGGAGAAGCTCCGGTGAGAAATACCCTCACACTCTTGCCCTCACGGAGACACGTGATATGACGTCATTCGCGGCGGAGCCTCCCGTTTCCCCTTATAAAACTTTGTCGACTGCTTCCCGGACGTCGCCCTCGGGATGGGAACTCTAAATACTTCGGCGCCTTTACCCCGAGAGGAAGTTGATGTTGAGAGAAATAAGGTGTAAAATTCTTCAAAGTTTCAGAAACCGATGACTTCAAGATGTCCCTGGCACTCTTCACAATTTGTCTTATATCCGGGATGTACGGAAGTGAGGCTGGAGGAGGGCAATGTAAAATTTCAGAGAGATCAGTTCCTGGCAAAGCTCTCAAGGGTCACACCTTCAAAGAGTTTGCAGTGAGGGCCATTGTTGAGTGCCAGAACACCTGTGAAAGAGACCCCAGGTGTGCGAGTTACAATTTTTACATTCCGGGCAAAGTGTGCGAGCTTAACAGCCAGACCAAGGAAGAAAGACCTGAAGACTTTGTGACAGATGAGCTAAGGTTCTATATGAGACGAGAAGGTACGATAATCTGTCTGTTCTCTTCCGTTTACTCCCTAGTCTCCCAGCAAATCAGACTATAATCGATCTACTTCTAGTCTTACACTGTATTCGGGTACTTGTATTGTACTGTATACAGCTATTTTGGAAAAGGTTGTCGGAAAAGGTGCACTCGACAAGTATTGTGGGTGGCATTGAGTTCATTTTGTTCTTCCAAGAAATATGAAAAAAATGGCACGAGAGGTCATGCCACACTTATGTTTGCGAGTGCTAAAGAAAAGAAACAAAAGTAGGTTCGACAGCTACAGCGTCAGGAACAGTGTTTTAAACAGTATTAATATTGATGTGAAGTATGTGAAATAATTCATTTTTGAACTGCGGTTGTAGATGAAAGTGAAGAATGATCATCGCAGTAAATTTTCCAGTTTAAGCAAGAATGAATTATTTCATATACTTCACATCATTTCACTCCTCAAGGGAGATATGAACTCAATAAACTGACCTCGTTCCCAATGTGCGGCTTCATAGCTCAGTCGGTAGAGCAACGCACTGGTAACTCGGGGGTCACGGGTTCGAATCCCGTTGAAGCCCTGATTTTTTTTTTTCAGGCTTCTTCTTTCCAATTGCTTAAATTGGAAAATTTACTGCGATGATCATTCTTCACTTTCAGTATTAATATTGATCATATGCCAAATTACCTTTTGCGCACATTTTTTCCGACAACGTACCTTTCACGAAATAGCTGTATATTGTGGAAGTACTTAATGCATTAGAAAAAAAGCATCATTGTCTACTCATGGTATACTGTTAAACAATAAAAATGCAAACGATGGAAACTTTAGTTTTGGTCTAGTTTACTCTTACCCAGTTTGATTTATACTTAAAATTAAGGGGAGGTTGTCTAGTGGTTACTGTTAAGTTAACTAAGGGTATTTTATCGGGATGTTATATGTTGGGTATCATGAAGACTCATTTATTAGTTGTTAGAATAACACTTTCGTCTTCAATTTCGACCTTTGAAATAGTCGTCAACAGAAACCTTCTCCTGACATGAATTCGGTGCAAGGGATGGAGTCCTGTCGCAATTTGTAATAATCATCGCACTTTGTAATAAATCCATCACACTTTCTAATACCTGTCGCAATTTGTAATAAGCCGTTTCGCACTTTGCAATAAAAAACCTCAGTGTTGCAATTTGTAACAACGGTCCATCGCACTTTGTAATAACCTAAGCTGTCGCAATTTGTGATAATTCCATCGTACTTTTTAATAATTTTTTGACAGTGATTCAACTTACTTCGTTAACATTAATGCAATGCCAAAATATGAATGGTACTTCATAAAAAAGATGATGACGTCTGCAAGTGCGTAACTTACAAAATTACAACGTATCTCCGCTCATTCAAGCCATTTAACTTTATTCGCGGTCCTAAACATATTTTTTTAATCAATGTTGATTTGTTATTTGACTAAGATCCATCCTTACATCATTCGAATAAGGACAACAGGAAAGTTCAAGCTTTCCTTTTTAGATCTTATAACAGGTCGACACAACACTGCCTTGTCTAACGCGAAATCTTAAAAGAAGGTTTCCATATTTTGGCCAACTTAATCAGACGAGGCCTGGAAAAATTCAAAATGTTTACTGCAAATAAACAAAAGCTTCACCAGTGGCAAATCGTCGAAGCACAGAAGCAACATAAATACAAAATCCAATTACGAGAAGTCCGAAGACTACAGCAAAGCTGATTTAAAACAACGTATATTGTTTTTTATAACAATATTTCGGCTGGCCATACCAGCCTTTAATACGTTGTTTTAAATCAACTTTGCTGTAGTCTTCGGACTTCTCGTTCTTGTTTCTTTATATTTTGGCTCATTTGATCTCTTTTCTAGAGATGCAACGTTTACAACTAGCAGGATCTTCGTCCACGGTTTTTGTAGTTAATAAAATCCAATTTGTCGCTTTCCAATACTTTTGTATGCACATGTTTTTATAAAACTCACTTGGGGTCATACACTTAGCCGGCTGACCATTTGGTCCATTATTCTCTCTTGATTCGGTCCCATATAGGAACAAAGGAAGTACTCATTTCATCTTAAAACAATTTTCTTCTATGGAGCCCTCTCATAAAGCAAATACCGTGTGCGTTCAACTCTTAAGACCGTGCAATTCTTCCGAGGGTGTTCAAGATTACTTTTTTTTCACAAAATGGATACCCTATTTAAGGTTCGAGATCCTCAAAAACCATACCCTTTCACGCGATCCATACCTACCTACCCTATATAAGGGATTATCTTCTCCCCCCGAAGACAGTCACGTGTCACGTGCAAGCAAACATGGATCCGAATTTGGTCGACGAATACCAGGTTATTCATGAATTTTTGTTGTTAAATTTTGCTTTTGTTATTTAAATATTTTTGAATTCAAATATATCAAATGATTCACATCTTTTTTTTGGTTACATGTCACAGGAAGTTTCATGTCTTTCATAAAAGCGATTCTCGTTGGTCATGTGATCAATCAAGGCAGACAAATTTATAACGGAGGACATGCATGTTTGACCAAAGAAAATAATTTAAGTTTACAACAAAGTGCGAAGGTCATCATTACAAATTGCGACAGCTTAGTTTATTACGAAGTGCGATGGACAGTTGTTACAAATTGCGACAGCTCTTTTATTACAAAGTGCGACACGGTTTATTACAAATTGCGACAGGTATTACAAAGTGTGATGGATTTATTACAAATTGCGACAGGTATTGCAAAGTGCGAGGATTATTACAAATTGCGACAGCTTAGTTTATTACAAAAGTGCGACACGGTTTATTACAAATTGCGACAGGTATTACAAAGTGTGATGGATTTATTACAAATTGCGACAGGTATTACCAAGTGTGATGGATTTATTACAAATTGCGACAGGTATTGCAAAGTGTGATGATTATTACAAATTGGGACAGTACAACCCTACCAAGAAAACAAAGGGTCGACAGATCCAGCTTAAAGGCGGGTTATATTTCTAGCTGAACCGACGTTTCGTTTCGTTCTCATGATAACTGCAGTTCGCCAAGTTTTCTACACGAATGTAGAATTAGTTGACTCGCCCAGGGTAGCTCGGGTAGGCCAGTGACCTTTCTACCCAGCCCGGGGAAAGTTTTCTCCATATAAACGGGGCCTAACAACTATCTAAAAGTATGTTTTAAATATTGTAACAAAGCTAAAACTCAATGGTGGACTTCAACCAACACCCACTCTGCTACTCCGCTGGTTTTTGTGTATAAATCTTTCATTAGCTTACTACCTGTTAGTTTGAAGCAGAATTTAGTTAATATCTTCCAGCATTTTATTTCAGACGTAGACGAATGCCAGATGAGCACTCACAATTGTAGCGACAATGCCACCTGCATCAACACCGAAGGTTCCTTTAACTGTAGTTGCAAACCAGGGTACAGAGGAAATGGTTACAACTGTACAGGTTGGTGCTTTTAAAACTCTTCTCCTTTTTTTTATATTTTTAAGGATTTTTTATTGAAAAAAAAAACAAACAAACAAACAAACAACAACAACTTACAACAAAAACATTTTTTATCGCTCGTCTGTGCTCAGTCAGTCGCGTGCTAAGGTTTCTGCAGGTTTCACCAATGTAGGTAGCCTGCAGTCGCAGCATTTGACCTTGTATACTGCTCCCTGTCTCTATTCCGGTTAGTTTTTGTCCCGGACAATCATTTCCAACCTTCTTATGAAATGAATAGAGCTCCTAGGTTCAGACTTTTCACGATTATAAGTAACGTAAGGAACTACAATGAGAATAACAGACAACAAACTTTTAAAAACTATTATAAATAGACTAGTAATAAGAACAATTGACTTGAAAAAAGTGCTTCTGGCCTATGTGTTATGGTTTTACAGCAATGAGGAATTAGTAACGAATTCGTTACAATGGGGACTAAGGGGTATGTAGTAAATTCGAGACTTTCCGAGAATGGAGATTCGAGACCGAGACTTATAACAAGCGATTTATTAATTCCAAGCTCGAGACTGGAAAAATCTGAGCGGGAGACTCCAAGCGTCAAAAATTTCTAGATAATGGTACTAATAAAGCTGAACAAAATGTCCGAAATCGTAACTGGAAGCTAGCGAAAGCCCACCGCTATACTCCTTTGTCTTGTTTACTGATTTATGTCTCTTATTTACTGGCTCAGTTTGGTAAGCTGTGGCATACATAAACTCTGAAAACTTCGACTCCAGAAGACCGAAAAAGAAAAAAAAAAACACGACAAATCCGAGACTCCTAGACCCGTTGGCATAAAAATTCGAAACTCAGAGGGCAAAAAATCACCCTAAAACGAGACTTCGAGACCCATCTGCTTCCGAGATTTTGAGATCGGCCAAAATTTTTTGATATCCATGCCACGTTTTTTGAAGTACCATCAGGATTCTATATCCCTAAACTAGGACAATGAACTGACAGAAGAAATACAATTTTAAAAAAACTAGTAATCTACGTGTTACGAAGATGAGATACAATCAAATAAAATTTCGAAGGCAGGTTAAACAACAACAAGAACAACAACAAAAAACAATAAGTGCTATATCCCTTCAGCCTCATGAAATATTGCACTCTCCATGCACAGTAATAACAAAATCACAGGGCGAGCTCTTAAACAGTTTGTATCGAATTCCCATTTCAGGGCTTTTGAGTAGGTAAAAAGGTATAAAACAAAAAAGGCCGAAAGTACTGTTAAAAGTACCTTTCCCTTCTTCTTCTTCTTCTTCTTCTTCTTCTTCTTCTTCTTCTTCTTCTTCTTCTTCTTCTTCTTCTTCTTCTTTTTTATTCTTTTTTGTAGATATTGACGAGTGTGCCAGCGGCACTGACGACTGCCACAGTTCATTTGCTTCATGTACAAACACTGTGGGATCCTTTAGTTGTACATGTAACAGTCCCTACAATGGAGATGGAAGAACTTGCAATCTACCGGCAGGTAATTATTAGTCAAAATATTAGGAAAATGTTGACTTTAATTACCAGACCCTTACGCTTGTTAGCTAACAAGCAATTGTTGAATACGGCTGATCTCTCCGGGGGGAGGTGGGGGGGGGGAGGTACTTCCAGAAAAATTGGGTGTGGGTTTGCGGCACGCTTCCTGAAACCCTCTCCCTATTTCAGACCAAAATCTGTGATTTTCCCTACCCTATTTCAGACCTGACCCTTAAAACAATACCCTATTTCATACCTGCCTTATAATCACTTCCCTAGGTCAGACCAGTGTTATAAAGGCAATGTTTATACGCTTTTATTAAGTAGGATACAAAACTGTACAAAGTTTCGAGCTTAAAGGGAAATGGTCTTATCGACTAATGGTGAAGAAGTAGCTTGTTCTAAAAAACATACCCAATTCTAGACTAAAGTGCACAAACCATACCCTATTTTAGACCAAAACGGCTAACAAACATACTCTTTGAAGTCACACAAACCTATATAGCTTATATAATGGAGTACCCCCCCCACCAGGGGGGGGTGGAGGGGGCTGATCATACGAAAGCCTGATTCAATAATTGTTTTATTATTCATTCAAAATAATTCCTGCATCATTACATGCTTATCTCAATCGATGTTGAGTTCCCCTCTTCATTTGGTTGTTATTTCCTCTGCAAATTTAGGATCTAGGGATGCTGCTATTTACAGACACTGGTTATCTGCGCATCGTCTATTTCCTTGTCACAATCACGTGCTAATTGTAGACATTGTGCACTATTCAAACAATGGCAGATTTCTTTGGGTTTAAGTAGCAGAATAGCGTGATATGTTTGACCCTTGTACTATAATTTTATAGCCATATTAGTAATTTTTTCCGTCTCAAACTACACAAGTTTCACTTCCTTGGCTTTTCGCCGCAGTCACTGTTCCTACCCTTCTTCCTCTTTGTCTGCCTTAGTTTTTATACAATACAACATGTTTGCGGGAAGTTTTTCCGCCATCTGGTTGATACGGACACCATTAAATCTCAGACCGAGGCCTTGACGTTTATTGACCGAGCGATATCGAGGTCAATACATCAAGGCCGAGGACTGAGATCTCTCTGTAACGACCGAAGAACGGACGAGGTTAATAAGTTATCTATTATATGGACTTTTCATTATGGATCCGAGCATGCGATCAATTAAACCAACATCTGGTCAGAGTATAACTTTAAAAGACACTTCACCTCAGTGAGTTGTACACTTGAGCTGGCGATACGGTCAGGTGGCACTGGTCAGCGGATATCCTTTTGACAGCTGTCAATTGACCATAACATGGATGCCCATAAGGATGTCCACTATCACGTTAAACACATCCAGATTGTATATGCTTAGGACACTTCAATAAGAAAACAGCCAATCAGAGGACGCGTACTATTGTAGCCATATATTAATGATATACTTACCGATTTTTCAGCACTTTATTGTATAGTACAATGCAAATTTCACATATTTCAACAGAAACACAGTAGAAATAATGCATTTTTATGATAAAACGTTATCTGTTCGTTGTACTTATCAAAATAAAATTACTTTAGTGTTTACTTAATAGTTTAAGTGTTTTTGCCGATTTTAGAACAAGAATAGCTAACGAGATGGCATCCGAGTCAGGGTTATGTGCTCCTGTCCGAGTGGAGTTACAAGAATCAGAAGTCAAGTTATCGGGGAAAATTTCAAAAAAGCCTAGTTCGAGTTAGCGGGGATAAATAAACACCAATGAAATAGCCTACGTAGCGCGAATAGCGCGAAACTTGGAGCAGGAGCAAAACAAAAAATGGAAGAGGGTTCCTTCACTCCGCTCCCCCTCCCCCTCCCCCTTCATTCCTTTTTTTGCTCTCGTTCCAGTTTTCTCGACGAACTCGGGCCTTTTTTTGCTCTCGTTTCAGTTTTCTCGACGAACTCGCGCGGAACCGCTTGCTACGCAGGCTACCAATGAAATATTAGGTGAGCTTTCGCGAGAAAACTTGAAATCTTCACATGTGAAAATATCCCCCGTTGCTATGGCTACACAATAAATCGCGCCTTTCACACCAAAAACTATTAAAGTGAAATGGTTTGGTATTTCATTGGCGTTTATATAATAAATAGAACATTACATGGCCGCTTGGAGATACGAAATTTCTCTTCTCGTGTTAAAAAAAAATATTTCACTTGTTCGTTGAGGACACTCGTGAAATATTTTTCAACACTCGAAGAGAAATTTCGTATCCCCGCGCGGCCATGTAATATCCTCTATTTATCCCAGTTCGTTTGGGGGTCAACTGAGTAAAAATGACTACAAAGAGGGGTGAAAACTAAGGGAAATGGGACTTAGTCATTCGAGTTAGCGGGGAGTTCGAGTTAGTTCGTTATTTTATCAGTAGTCTCTAGCCATTGTTGTCAATTCTAGTTCCTTTAGTTCTCTTGTTACTTTTAGTTGTATTTATTTCCTGTAAACATGGCCCGACTAGATTAGCTTAGCTACTCGCGGACATGTTATAATTGTACTTTTAAACACAATAAAAAATGTATGAATGTATGTATATGCAAGCGGCAAAGCAGTCTTTCTATCTCGCCTCAGCCTGCGAAAACAGTCGTTTCTCCGCGCTCCTCGCCGCTTGTCTCATCTCGCGTCTCCCTTCTGAAGTACTAACTACACACAAAGTATGAGGGAAGATTTTGTTTGAACATTTCCAATTTTGCTCAATCCTTAGCGACATTTGTTCTTAAAGAAGATCTAAAATCAGCGAGTCGTTTTCGCCTCAAAAAGATTTTAAAAGAATCTGTCATCTCCAAATATTGCATTGGTGAACTTTATATGCAACTAGTTGTGAGCACAGCCGTTGTTTTGTCTTGCTTCTTTGTTTATTCGTTTGAATGTGTATTTGTTTATTTATCACAGCTTAAATATATTCTTTATTCGTGTGTTTTTATTTGCATTCGTTTATTTATAACAACTTTGATATCTAGTTACTTTTCCTCATGTCCCATCCATTCAGCGCGATTAGCTTTAATTTGCTATTTCTGAGTGGCTGTGCTCTCTTTCTTTCACATTAGTATTTCCTTTAAATGACTCTACACTTTTGTATCAAGAGCACGACTGTAAACATTGTTGTTATTGTTGTTGTTGTTGTTGTTGTTGTTGTTGCTTCTTGTCTAATGAAGTTTTGATCATTTTTTAACTATTGTCTATTTTATGTCAGAATGTAAAAATTACTGGAGTCTGAACAATGCTGACAGGAATATAATTTATGGAAGGCCCAACCGTCAGTGTGACAGCAGTATCGGCCCTAGATGGTTTCGTTTTGAAGGGTCCGCCGGCACAAGAATGCCAACTTCATGTCCACCTTTTCACAGGTGTAACACTGACTCACCTGGCTGGATGGATGGTAGCCACCCTACAGTAGCAGATGGTCAGGTCAGCAGGCGGGTGTGTTTTCCCTGGAGTAACTGCTGTCACTGGCCAGTAAACATCACAGTGAGAAATTGTGGTTCATATTATGTGTACTATCTTAGTAGTGCACCTAGTTGTTATCTCCGTTATTGTGGCACTAACTAAAATTAAGGTGCAAGTAAAGTATTACATAATCTATCATTTCAGTTAAGTAGGCTTCATTGTATTAAAGAAAGAAAAGAAAAGGACGAACTACACTCAACTTCAATATCTGAATTTCTATAACTTAAGCAAAAGGAGGAAAAAAATTACAAGGTAACACAACGTACTACTCGCGTTAGCAACCAAGAACAGTTTTCTTGAAGTTTAATATGAGGATGAACATTCTTTTAAGCCGTTTTAAAGATAAGGTAAGAAATAAATAAGGGTAATAGAACTTACCAGGAAGTCAATCTAGGTAAAATAATACATTAAATTAGCAATGCAGTTTTTCGTGTCACTTGTCACAGTGTTTAGAAACGTACACTGAGTTCAAGAACGCCATGCAGTTGCTAAATAAACTGCAATGGACAGATGTTTTAACTTAGAAGATGCGCCGGGAAGGGCGGGGTATGAAACTGCTTACTTGTTTTGATATCGATCTGTAAAGGGATGCACCCTGTAAAATCAGAATTTGGGTTAGCCATTGCAAGAAGTATATCTTCTGACTGCACAAAAACAGATGTCAGAAGGTACTGAGGGGGTGGGAGGACTGCTCCGGTTTTTACTCAGTCTATAACTTTTCAAAATGTTAAAATTAAAATTATGGGACGAGCCACTGCTGAAACCACTTTGGACGCCATTTTGAAATTACTTAACATAGAACATTTTTCACCTTTTATAGAGTATTATCATTCTTTTGGTAATATAGAGTCCTTTATTTTTTAGGTAACAATTGCACCAAAAAATCATGTAAAATTATAACAAATGGTTTGGTAAATGGTTTGAGAATCAGCCGGATTCACAGATCCGCGTACAATCATTTGATCCAATTTTGGTGACCAAGTTAGACCCTGTTACGACGAGGATATTTTTCGTGCTTCTTTTTTATGATCAGGCTTGTGGTCATCGCCTTTACTGTTTACTTTTAACTCTCTCTCTGGTTCCTTTGTAGGGTTTTCTTTTAAGACTTTCAAAAAATAAAATCCGGCGATTCTAGAAATTGCAATAGCCCACGAAGGATCAACCAAATAATATTGGGTGTGGCTCTTCGTAGCACCCCTTCCATTCCCTCTCTATTCTAAAAGGTTGTCGGCTAATTAAAGGCGTATTTACCCAAGACGTTTCTTCGTTGCTTCCCATAGTCCTGTTGGAGAGAATATTGATAAATACACGAGGATATACACAATACTGTTGACTCACCTTCATCAATTCTTCTTCCACCAAAACTTAATTGAAAAGGGAGGGGTTGAGTCTTGCAATTGAATTAGTGGCCTTGAACAAAGATTTCGTCCCCTGAAACAAGTAGCACCAACATTTCTAAAACACGCTCGCGTGGAAATGCAGTGTGGAGCCCGTGGGCTTCAAGCCCTATTAATTCTCTAATATAGAGTTGGGAATTCCGGCTGATTTGGAAGACCTATAGTCCTAGCTTAAGGCCCTTGAGAGCCTATAGTGGTAGAACAGGAAACCCCGAAAGGAACAAAATCAAGCATTGCAGGTTTCTTTGGTAAGGGCTACAAATGGTGGATTTCATAAGGGGGATTTTTGACATAAAAAAAATAAAAGCCAAAAACAGCGCGTGATTACAAGCTACGGCAAAGGGATTGCCTAATGCTCCATATCGGTTTTTGTCTCTTTAACCTTCTGAACATACAAACCGAACCGAAAATGTTGAGTGTCAAATCGTACCTTTCAATAATGGAGTGAGGCCTCTGACGACTTTCTAGAGGTGACCTGCCTGACTCCACCAGAAGCATCGACATCATATCAGTAAGAATCAATGAAAACAGCGCCATGTTTTGAGCAGTTCCACGACTCAATGAAGTTATTTGGTGCCGAACAATTGTCGGGCTGCAAACTAGCTGTGAACGATTCGGTCTGCAGAGTTCGGCGACTGACGGTTAGATCAACAGACCTTGTAATTTATGAAGAAATGTTTTTGAATAGGTGCCAATTGATAGTTACTTATCCCAATCAGCTTTCACCACCATTCATTACATATCTATAAGTGGTCACTTAACCTAATCCACCAAATTTTTACCACATATATCCACCCCTGTCTCTATCTATTGTATCCATAACATCTTTATCGTCCCAAATTTCGCGACATATTTGGTGCCTTATCCACCAAAACAATCCCAGAAATAACTGCGCCCAAAGGTTGTACTTATTCTCCTTAGAGATTCTGAAGTGGGACATTTCCTTTTCCCTTCCGTCCCTTTTAAACGCCTTCCAAGTAACCTAAAACGTATTTTCCTAAGCAGCCTTTTTTTCTCTTGTCAAGCAATGCTTTTCTAGGGCAAGAATTAAACGTTTACTACGCTCTCGTTTCCAGAGGCTGCGATCCTTTTGGTCAGCTCCAAAGATCACTAACCTTTAGACTTCAAGAAGCCTGGTGAGAGAATAAACACCCCATAAAACAACGAAAAAACTAATCTCGTACCCAGATCTCCCACGGCCAAGGGAAAGGGAGATCTCACTATATTGCTGTCTCCATAAGCTTGATTGAATGGAATAGTGTTTTTTTTTTTTACACTAAAGAAAATTTTCCCTTCCCACCCTCCTTCCCCCAAGAAAAATTATAAGTTATACAAAAAATAATATTAAAAAGGATACAAGTTTTTACACGTTCATGTTTAGGTACGTTTTCCGGTTGAAGCGCAGTACCCATCATATTCTGAGAATTTCCATAATTTATTCCAGTCTAAGAGCTTTACAATATTTGGCACTGGTTTAATAAGTTTTGCTACAAACTATATTTGTACAGTGTATCAATATGTGTGAGGAAACCTCCCTAGCAAAACCTTGTACGTGTGAATGGGGCTTAACAAAGAATGAAAATGTTAACAAACCATTACAATGCGTACCCATAAGCTTGATAGTGTTTTTGGTGAACAACTTTAGCTCTTGCAACATTGACACGTGCAATTCGCCACTTTTTACATCGTCCATGTAACGCATTGTTCTCCAAATATTGCGCAACGATTATTCCAATCTGTGATTACAATGTACATTCGTCCCAAGAGAAATTGATAACAACACTAGAGCAAATATTGGAGGTCAAGCACGGTGAATTTTGAGTGTGAAAGTGGTGGATAAGCAAACCTAATGATTTAATCACCAAGTTGCTACTCGCTGCATTCACAAATCGAGAACTGTAATTCAGTGTGTCCGTAGAAACGGATTTTAGTGAAGGGATGCATAAAGACAGAAGCACCTAGTCTGATGAACACGAGACTGAAATATCTAATCAAGTAGACAAACAGGTAGGGATCATAATTTTTTTTTTCGCTGAGTCAGCTCTAATTCAAATTCTCGAGCGAAGCCTTTGGCTACGTTTGGGCGAATAGCGTTTCAAAATTTGATCGTCAAAATCGAGTTCAATTTTTAGCCAGCTGGTATGGTCAATTTAACAGGAACGGTATGCCACCATGAACGTCTGTATTTTGTACCTTAAAGGCGTGTTTACATGGATGCGTGGTAATTAAGTTGGCAGACACCATTTTTGATTTGGTAAAGTAGCAAATTGCACATGTATGGACAGGTGGTAAAACTATTAAGACAAGTTGAAATTCACCCTAGTGGGTCAGTTCCGTGTGAACAGACCGAAATTCGAAATATTGAACGTTTCTGTACATGCTCTTTCAACTTGACCTATTTTGCTATGTCACTAGTTCATAATATAACTTAGTTGACAATTAAGACACGTTGTTATCTTAACATAACTCAGAAAAAGTGCCTGAGTCTGTAATAACAGTCTAATATCCATTGGTATCTTTACAATGTATTCAGTAATACATTAGCTGTTATTGGTCTTCATTTGCGACCTCAGCACAGTGAACAAAGGAATGACCACAGAATTTGTTTTCTTTTCTGCATATGGCGCACAGTTAATTCATTTTGATAACTTAATCTATCAGTTCTATTTTACCCACAAGTGAGGCTAGTTATGACTAGTCTGATAATTCTCTAGCTAATGGAAGTGCTCAAAAGATTCAAACTGCAATACATTTAAATCGTCACCGTCTCTTTGAACGGTATACTGATAATTATATATTCCCCTGGATAATATTTTAGTCAAATAATCGAATTATTTGTACACGTCCTTGATCTTCAGGATTACCACCAGTCGTACCAGAGCAACTCATGCCACCACAATACGATCCCCCTCCCCCTCCGGCTTGTTGCATACGACGACCACTACCTCCCCCAGAGTAACCTCCTCCACCACCTGATGCTCCATTGTCCTCTGCACCCCCTCCTCCACCGCCATAACCTCCTACAGCCCCTGGGGGTGGCCCTCCGTTATTTCCACTGTTCATATCCCCAGCTCGTCCCCCTACCCATTCCTGGGCTCGGGAGTCACCTCTTTCTCCATGCTGTATGTCAACTCTGTTGCAGCCTTCGCGTACCCAGCCTGCACCCACCCCACCATGGTAAAGAGCATCTACAGTGTTACATTCCCCAGGGTACCCATCAGTTCCTCCTTTTCCCACGTACGTGGGGTTAGGACCAACACTATCAGTGCCATTAGGACCCTCCTGACCGTCTACTCCGTTATTTCCTGCGCTTGCACCTCCTCCCCCGCCAGCAACTATAAACAGGGTGGTGGTATTATAAACAAAACTTCCTCCACCACCCCCTGTACCAGCATTGTCCTCCACTGACAGTCCCAGTTCAGCTGCGGTCTGACTAGTAGGTTGTCCTCCCCTCACCTCCACGGAATCTCCTCCCTTCTGCCCCACCACGATACTCAGCACAGTTTGATTAAACAATATAAACGTTCCTTCCATGAACGCGCCTTTTCCTCCGACGGTAGTTCCGGGAAAATCGCCATAATTTGTCGTGTGCGTTCCTCCCCGTGCCCCCCATGCTTTGATGAGATAACGAGCAGTTTCTGGAACTGTGAACGACTGAATACTACCCAATCTACCAGTGCTTATGTTTGTAAAGATCCATCCGTCTGAAACAAGAATATATTAGGGTTTAGCGATTCATAGTGATTTATTATAAGGTCAAATTAAACATCTATTCTCGATGTCAATCCTAAAAGAGCACTTTAGGAGAGTCAACACCCACTGTGATACAAGTCTCCACTGCCGGTGATACAAACCTCCGTACGTTCAATCTTCTTTTCAGTGCAAATTAGTGTAGATAATAGCATGACTTGTAGTGATATTTGACATAAATACCACGAGTGATGTTTCAAAATAGTTATACGTAATTTCACGAGCCGTTAGGCGAGTGAAATTTGGGACAATTTTGAAATATCACAAGTGGTATTTATGCCAAATATCTCGTACAAATCATACTATTATTTGTATATACTACTACCCGCAAAAGGTTTGTAATTTTCACATGTAGGTATTTCAAATTAAGCTGAAATACCACTGCTCTAAGCCAATCCAGTTGCAGAAATTTCTGATGTAGTAGTATAATAGATATAATAAGTAAAGTAAAAGTTGTGTGAAATTGAAATGGAACTTGTTGCCCGCATTGCTAAGGAGATTTGAAATTTCTAATTGATAAAACAGATATGTTTAAAATCGTCCTTAAACTCCCAGATACACAAAAGCCCAAACTTAAGATGAATCTAAATGTATGCAAAAGGGCAGGAATTGTTACCCGGGGCGTAATGGGCATGTCTATTACCTCACAGCGTTTTGTTACAAGAAAACACATTCTATAACAGGGTAAAATTGTTAAAACTCGCTTAGTACCCCTTGGTTTTTTTTTTTTTTTTTTGAAAACTGATATTAAAAAAACATAGAAATTAATATAAGAGTAGAGAAGAAGAATAGCTGTACATAAACCAGATCCGAATACAACAAAAATCAAAATCTTACTTAAAAAATTATTGAAAGCAAAGTTCGTCCCCCAGGGTTTTTTTTTTTTGTTTTTTTTTTTTTTCCAGTTTTCAAATGTTATGCTCAGAATAAAAGTTGAATGGATAGTCTGCAATAAGCTCTGCAACATGCTGTATATCATTCTTCAGCGAACTTGTGACATCATTCTTAATGGCCATTATCTTGTTTGCCATCTTGGAGCTGAGATTTTTACTGATCATATTTAGCTCACTCCAACCCCTTCACTTTTCCTCTCGTCCGTGAGTCAAAAATTTTGACCTACAGCGACAAACGTTTCTCATAGGTGATTAATACAGGCGAAGGCCAGTTTAGCTTAAGAGTGAAGTTTTTCCCGTTTCAGCTGCTCTCTTTTTATATATACAAGTAATATTTATGCTTACCAGAACAGTTTGTTCCATCCCATTCAAACAAAAGTGCAGGGCAGGTGCAGATGAAAGAGCCTACGGTATTGTTACACACCGATGTCGCTGGGCAGTTGTGGGAGTTGTCCGCACACTCGTCCACATCTAAAGAGAGAAAATGCACATAGATTGAGCATAATATACTTTTCTACATAAGCAGACATTAAAAACTGGAAAAGCTCTAAGTGGTCACAGAAAGAGAACTTTACTGGAAATTGAAGTAAACTAATTTTTGTCTTACAATTTTTTTTTATCTTTTTATCTGCGCTAAAATGCTATCGGCTATCGGTAAACACCTTGCAGAAGCCCATGGGCGATTAGGTACGCCCAAAGAAAGCCAATTTCATATTCTTTGCAAATGCTAAACGAAGTTTAAATGCCTGATTTAAGAGATGCTCTTCATAAAAGAGATCAATCCAAGCTTGAACACCCAGGTTGATTTAATCGCGTGCAAAACTCTTTATTTGAACTGACATTCTTGACACTTTATATAAGGTTTTTAATGAAGCAAATTAGTAATTATACGCTGCAACAGACACATTTTTTTACTTGATAATGACGTTGATATGAAACGTTTTAGCGCAATAGTTTTGCATCCAAATATAAGTGAATTTATCTATTAACTCCTCATCCACTTTTTTTCTTTTCTCGTCTTGTTCATTATCGGACTTGCCTTTCCCCTCGTCACCCTCGATTCCTTGGGCGTAAAGAGCTAACCAACAGTACGAACCTCATCTCCTCGGATAATAAAGGTGTACGTTATATTAACATAAGTCTTCCTTATAAATACCTATTTCCACTGACATGTCACCTACAAAAAAATTTTTCAAAAAAAGAAAAAAAAAAAATCGCCCAATATTTACCAGTACAATTTTGTCCATTTCCTGTGTATCCTAAATTACATGTACAGTTGTGAGAACCAATGGTGTTATTACATGTCGCGTTGTAATGACATAAATGTGTATTGGTTGCACATTCATCGATATCTGAAATATTCAAGAAAATACAATACTTGATGAATGAGGTAATAAACTCACCAGAAATGTGCTTTTAGTGTTAAGAAAGATTATTGCACAAGATTTATGACCTTTCAAATAAATGAATAGAAGAAATTTTAACCAACGACAAACAGAGTTGACCTTTTTACGGACAGTCAGAGACCTAGAGATAAAGAACGGGAAGAGGAAGAACGGGCAAAGAAAACGAACTGATCTTCAAGCAATTAGGTAGTAAGCAGATCGATTGAGCCAGAGCTGGCCTGATAGACCGAGAGACACACAGACAGACAGACTGACAGATAGGCAGGCAGACAGACAGATGGAATGAATGACTGACAGACAGACGGACAGACAGACTGACTAACTGACTGAGAGACAGGCAGACAGACAGACAGACAGACAGACTGAGAGACTGACTTACCATCACCACTGAACTTTCGCAGGTTTTGTTTTGTTTTTTTTTTGCATTGTACAGTAGACAGCACCAAATCTGTTCAAGTAGTTACAGTTGACTTAAATCCACCTTTTATGTAATTTAATAATATCTGAGAAGTAAGAAGGTGCCTTATTTTACCAGTGCACCATGTTCCATTTCCGGTATGTCCAGGATTACATGTGCAGTTGTGGGACCCAATGGTATTGTTACAAAAGGCATTGACATCACAGTTATCGGTGTTGTTTGAACACTCGTCAATATCTATTGCACAAAAAGAAATGTAGTTTATTTTCTAATTTACTTCCACAAAAGCACTATTGAAATTCTCGTGATATGACTTCACTGACATCAATACATAAATTGAAACTGAATTAAAGAGTTTCCTAAGCGGTCTTAACATCATCGAATGTTAATCCTCTGATATTATTTCATATCCTTAGTTCATAATTATATGAATTAGTTAACCTGCATTCATTTCGTTCTCTGGGCATGATTAAAAATTCACTTAGGTAACTACATCGCATATTTAGTTCGGTACCACACTTTTAACGCAGTGGTCCCGCGGGGCCCAACCCTATTGATGAAGTTCTTTATTAATTTTTTGTTATTGCTGAGGCTTCTCTTGCAACATAAATTGCTTCTATGCATATGACTGCCAGACCATTTCTTCACGTATTAACAGTTAAGATATTTTAAAATTACATAGCCTTTTACTTTTCTGACATATCTTTTTTATTATATAATTTCTTAGACCATTTCAAGAGAAGTGAACGCGCAAAAGTTTGTAATAATATCCAGAGGCGAAGGAACAAGGTGTTTCGGGAAACAGTCTTAGGTTGTTCGCAATTTCCTTTTCCACCCCAATTGAAGAGATGTGTCGTACACTGTATATAAAATATGATAAATTAAAGCCATATTCCATTGTAAATAACTTTTTAGTTAACTACCATATCCTCAGTGAAATAGCTTGTTATTCATTAAAAACCAAGATAACAAGATTTACACACCCATGCAAGTCGTTCCATTTCCTGTGTATCCAGCATAACAGGTGCAGTTGTAAGACCCCACGGTATTGTTACAGTAAGCGTTCATATCACAGTTGTCATTGTTGTTTGCACACTCGTCAATGTCTAACATGAAAATTTTAAAAAAGCCCTCAAATAAACAATTTAACTGATTGCTTACAAAACTAGTATTACAGCTAGCCTCAAGGGTGTAACTAACTCCTATCAGAGTGTAACGATCTAATAGGCTATTTAACAATTATTCCTCGAGCCCGAATGGGCTCTCCAACTAGTTGGTCAAAAACATCGAGAATAAAAGAATTTAAGCTACTTAAAGCTAGACTTTAATCCTTTTTTGCTGCCAAAAAGCCGGCGCTTTGCGCTACTAGTGGGCTATAACATAATTATAGCCTAGTAGTAGCTCAACCAATCAGAACGCAGCATTGATAATAGACCACTAGTTAGATTTTACTAATATATAATATTCTAAAATAGATCTAGATTTTCCCAAAAAGTTAGAAAGAATCAAGAGGATTGGTTTGAGTCGTCTGCGCAGTGATAGTCCCGCCCTCTTCGCGGGAAATGAAGTTGTTAAACCTTGCTACCCTGAAGACTCACAGAGGTAAGTGGCCTGGTGCGGAACAGGGGGTGGTTCGAGTGGTTCGTTCGAGCCCCCTGAACCGAAATAATAACGTTTAACACGTTCGGTTTCTATCGAAAAACGTAGGTGGCCATACATCGCCAACAAACACTATATGTTGTCTTTTGAAAAATGACTGTGATGAAAAGAAAAATACATTGATAGGGGAAAGTCTTTGCCTGGTTTAAATGAATGTTGATTCCGTTTTTGATGAAACCCAAGAGTTGTCTTTTTAGAGCACTTGGCAAATACAAATTTTCTAACCGTTCTTTCAGATTTATTTTCGAGATTGGTCTCGATAGCCTGCGAAAACAGTCGTTTCTCCTTGCTCCACGTCGCTTGGGACGTTTCTTTCTCCTGGTTAAACGTTCCACAGGCTATGTCCCGATTATTGTAAATTTTTAAGAGTGGTCCATGTTTAAAATATTTTTAAACGGGCGTCGTTTCAAAAAGGCATGTGACAACATACAATTACCCTTTAAAACGCAGGAAATCACTTTTCTGAGGACCTAAATTTCACACTTTTCCAGGGGAACATGCCCGCAGACCCCGTCCAAAAAAAGATAGATTCGCCCCAGGTGGCTGCTGTATTGGGAGCGTATTTTGGGAAGTAGAGGAATAATGTACAGTGAACGTAACCAATTGTAGTAACTTAGTTGTACCTTATTGCGACCGTTGTTTTGGTTCTAAGACCCTTCTCTAGGAGCCGTCATTGAAAGGTAAAATTGAAAAAATTGAAGGCCGATACATTGTCCCTTGCGGTTATGAGAGGGTAACGGCTAATAGGGGTTTAAACATTCCAGCGCTTTGTTCAGTTCTCACGGGTATATCTATTGCAAACGTTTATATTTTTTTACCAGTACAGTTGAAGCCATTTCCAGAATATCCTGAATTGCAGGTGCAGTTGTATGATCCAACAGTGTTGTTACAGTAAGCGTTGCCATGACAGTTATGACTATTTTCGGCACATTCGTCAACATCTAGGAGAAGTGGGAAGAAAACCATCAGTAACTATAAAGGCATATTTAATACTGACGTACATTCATTTTTATCAGTGCACAATATACATTGCTGATACGAAACCAGCAGCTCGCCATACAGTTAAAATGTTTCCAGTCATTCCAGGCAGAACATGACAATCTGTGGTTTCTCTTCTGATTCACCCAGGCAACACGGAAAGCCGCAAAAGTCTGGCATAAAAGAAAATCTTTCCAATCGACGCCCTAGGCTTTATCCCCAAGGAATCAACAAAAGCTTTTAATGGAACTTATTTTTTCCTGTTTTCCACCTTACCATATTCCCACAATGCAAAAGCAGAGATCCAACATCCGTTAAATAAACCGCACACAACCCACAATCAGCTACATTCCCCTCTGACAATGGACTTTGTCAGCTTCTACTAAGGTGGTCAATGTATTTTATCAACTAAAAAAAAGACATTATTTACCAACTTTGAGGTTTCTATTTGTTGCAATGATTTACCTACTCTGGATTCAGTTTTCTTAAAGAATTATTTTAATAAAAGGTTCTTCAGCCCGTTATCGAGAAAAAAACAAATCATATTTACCAGTGCATGTTGTTCCGTTTCCTGCGTATCCAGAGTTACAAGTACAGTTAAAAGACCCCACAGTATTATTACAATAAGCATTGGGATCACAATTATCGAAGTTAGCTGCACACTCGTCAAAATCTAAGAAAAGAAATATGGCTGAGCATAAGAATTTTACCACGCTGAATTGTGAAATGTTAGCCGCTTAAAATATTATTTAAAGTTACAGGAGCGAGAGGAAAGAGCTCACAGCATGATCACACATGATCACAAAGCTGAACAAACAGACAGACGGACGGACAGACAGACAGACAGATAGACTGACAGATAGACGGACGGACGGACCGACCGACGGACGGACGGATGGACGGACGGACGGACAGACAGACAGACAGACAAAGGGACGGACAGAAAGATAAAAATAGGAGGCATGTAAGAGGGGCAGACTGTAGCATTTGGAGAACACACAAAGGACATTGAAAACTGAGTAACAACAAAATATGTTTGGGAGATGTGTCATACATGAAATTACCTGTGCACGAGGTGCCATTTCCAGTATATTCAGGGTAACAAGTACAGTTATAGGACCCTACGGTATTGTTACAGTAAGCGTTGACATCACAGTTGTCGGTGTTGTTTGCACACTCATCAATGTCTAAAACGAAAATCAACAGTAAGCATTGACATGACATCTATCGGTGCTGATTGCACACTCATCCTCGTCCGAAAGATAAATAACACTGGCTTTCCGTTTATAAAAACATAAGACATACCCACATCATCTATCAACTAGGTTCTGCCCGATTATTATAGCACTGCACTGGAAAGTCATAAAGATTTTTCCGGCAGACATCATATTCACCGCATAACATTTTTAAAGCATACACTGCAACATATCTTTTATGCTCTGTGCTCATTTAAAAAGGCGAAATTTTGCTATCCTAACAGGAACGTGCTACGGTCGAGGCGTCGACTGTTAAACGCGAAAGCTGAATCACCATTATCACGTGTTCATTTAACTGTCAATCAAAGTCGCGTTAAAACCGGAAGCTGAGGCACAGTATACCTTCCAGTTCGCTGTTTTAATGTCGCACCTATTCATAATTATTGTTTGAGTGCATTAATGATTAAGTATTCTGTCAGTCTTAACGGATTTTAGGCGACGTTACAAAATGCTTTCAGTTAGTAGTTTTAGTAAAACCTGCGCGCTTCTTGAGTTAAAAAACGGAAGAAACTGAGCGTGTGCCAATGTGGTTTTAAGTTGGTTTTTATTTCGAGAGAAAAGGAACCAACAGGTTCATTACTTTGAGCAATGTATGAAAAATAAATAGAAGAACTTCTATCGAGAACAAAGTAATCATATTTACCAGCACATGTTGTTCCGTTTCCCGTGTATCCAGAGTTACATGTGCAATTAAAGGACCCCACGGTATTGTTACAATAAGCATTAACATCACAATTATCGGTGTTGTTTGCACACTCGTCAAAATCTGAGAAAAAAAAATACAACAGATACTGAAGAGAAACATTTCAGCACGATGAGTGTTTTAAAATTCGGCCATTTCAGCACCACCGATGGACTCCCCACACACCAAATAAAAGACATACAAACTTTCGAATTTAAACATCGGAAAAAGGACATTTAATTTGAAACCCGAGTAGCATTTCTCAATAACAACAAAATATGATAAAAAGATAGTGTATTATACAACGATTTACCTGTGCATGAGGTGCCATTTCCAGTGTATTCAGGGTAACAAGTACAGTTATAGGATCCCACGGTGTTATTACAGTAAGCATTGACATCACATGAATCGGTGCCGAGTGCACACTCATCCTCGTCTGAAAGGTAAATTAAATCAGCTTAGAATGAAATCTTTTTCCCGATTAAGCGCCGCATTAGCTGTTGTAATAAACTTGGATCTTCACTTAGGTCTTCACCTCCCCAATTTCTTTCTTTCTTTTCCTTTTTTTTTTTTTTTTTCGTTTTCTTTTTTTCCCTCCTTTTTTTTTTTTTTTTTTTTTTTTTTTTTGTTTTTGTCGCTTTCTAAGTTGTGGGGGGTAGTTTTTTTAAAACTTTTTTTAAATTTCTTCTTTTCTAAAAAAGGATGTTTTACAACCTATTTTTTTTAGGTGTGTGGGGTGATTGATTTAAAAAAAAAGAGCATATGTATGTTTACAAGAGAGTGTGGCTCTCAGGAAAACATTATCAAGCGAAAAAGTAAAATACAAGCGTATTAAAATACAACCTTTTCCCAAATAATGCCCGCCTTTATGTGATTTATAATCATTTACTTTCTTTTATGTTTTTACCCTCCCTATTTTTTTTTTTTTTTTCTTTTTTTTTTTTTTTTTTCTTTTTCTTTTTTTCCCTCCTTTTTTTTTTTTTTTTTACTTCTTCTCTGGGTTAGGACCTCTCTAACTGCTGGGGAAGAGTTCTTATAAAACGTTTTTACAATCGGGCTTTTTCAGAAACAGAGATTTTAACCCAGTATTTTTCTAAGGGTTGGGCGGGAATGAATGAATAAAAACCGAAGACTCGAGTTATTTGCTTAGCAAGAAACCTTTTCCCGATTAAGCGCCGCATTAGCTGTTATAATAGACTTGGATCTTCACTTAGATCTTCCCTTCTTCTTTTTCTTTCTTTCTTTTCCTTATTTTTTTTTCTTTTCTTTCTTTCCTTCCTTTTTTCTTTTTTCACTTCTTGTCTGGGTTAGGACCTCTCTAACTGCTGGGGAAGAGTTCTTATCAAACGTTTTTATAATCGGGCTTTTTCAGAAATATAGATTTTAACCCACTATTTTTCTACGGGTTGGGCGTTCAATTTGACAACTTTTTGCATCCTGAATGTCAGTATTCATAACAATGAGAGACGGTAGTCTAGTATTTTTTTTTTGAAAGTCTTCATACACAGATTGATATATATCATGCTGAGTCTAAATATTCAGGGGAAAAAAAAGATATTTACCTGTGCATGTTGTTCCATTTCCGGTGTATCCATGGTTACAAGTGCAGTTGTAAGAACCCACAGTGTTGTTACAATAAGCGTTGACATCACAGTTATCGCTGCTGTCTGAACACTCGTTGATGTCTATACGGAGATAAAAGCATGAGTTATACATTTGGGGAGAGGGAAGACATTGTCTTACTGTTTATAGTGTTAATCAGAAGACACCTTAAATACAGACCTTTGGGTGGGTGTGTCTTTTTTTGTGTGTGCAGTAAAGAGGACTTTAAATGACTTATATCACTTATGTCACTATAGTCCATCATTAATAAATAGTAAGCAGTGAAAAGTACTAAAGTTTGAAAAACAAGAGATGCGTACTTTATTTAAAAGCTAAAATAATTATCTTGTTAAAAAAATTAAAAAATAATAAAAAAGGAAAATAAACGAAACATTACCAAAAACAAAGAACTGCTCTAAAATCATTTAAGAAGGGCAATGGCACCTTGTGTGAATGTCAAACTACGAAACTAAATAGTTGAATATTCACCAGTGCATGTTGTTCCATTTCCTGTGTAGCCAGAATAACAAGTACAGTTGTGAGACCCAATAGTGTTGTTACAATAGGCATTTGTATCACATGAATCTGCGCCTGTGTCACATTCGTCAAGGTCTACAAGAAACAAACATTAGAGTTTCACCTTTGCATTAATCATTACTTACAACTTTGATTACTATAAGAGTATTGCTGTACAAGAGATAATATTTTTCTGCCAACTCCCTCAAATACAGTCAAATCACCTTATAAAAGAAACCAAGGGAACAGAACCATGCTCAGTTAAAAGTTGTTCTGTACAGAGGTGGGATTAAAGATGACTGTCCGTAACAGACAGGCAATCGTGAAGAGGACGACGGCTGGGGGTGGGGTAGGGTTTGACTTTATAATAACAAAAAGACAAATAAAACAACTGCAAAAAATCTAATTGTTAAGTTTCTGCTAAAAGGTGTCTTTTTTAAAAAAAAAATGAAAGTGGCAATTACATTTGCATTAGCTTATGCTCACCAGTACATGACGTTCCGTTACCAGTGTATCCAGAATTACAGGTGCAATTAAACGATCCATTAGTATCAGTGCAAAATGCATCGGGATCGCAGTCATGGGCGTTTGTTGTACACTCGTTGATGTCTAGAGAAGATGACGCAAAATTATTTCACAGTGATGAAAGCATTTCAAATATTCATTATCAGTAATTCTATGATTGAATAACAGCACTGTCATGTATCGGATCTGAGTTTCTGAGGATGAGATCGGGTTATTATTGCAAAGAGAGCTACTAATAAATTATAAAACTTGTACATGCGGTCAAATGCTTTTGAAAATGAAAGTATTAAATATAATTTTAGAATCGAAAACGTCGAAGCACGCCAAGGTAGTTACTTCAATTGGTGGAGATAGCTGACGTAACGAATACGTCATAATTCAATATAACCACAATTTTTTATCCACCATCTTGGATTTTCGGTTTATTTGAAAATTATCCAGAATGATTTCAAAAGCAGTGGTATGATGTTAACTCGCTGAGTGGCTGGTTGTCTTGGAAACGTAAAACATCATGAAGAAACACGTCACGCAATTCTTTTAGTTTATATGAGAAATTGGCAAGATGAATGTTTATGAAAACTTTTAGTTCATTTTGAAAACCGGGTCATTCGGCTCAGTGCTATGGCAGCAAGATGATCGTTGGAGCCTTAACTTTAATACCCTCAAAACTCAGAATCTGATACTGAGTTCAGTATGCGAAGCGTCCATCGTGAAAGTAAAGGCAACTGGCCACTAAATGTCCATAAGACCGCTCCTAAGTGTTTGATTTTAGAGGGTACTTGCTCGCGTGATTGGGCTTTTCGTTTAAGATGTTGACATGGATTAGCTGGTAGTAATACTGTCTATAGTGAAACTCACGTTTACTGCATATACTCACCATCGCAAAGTAAACCAGTTCCATTGTATCCAGAGTAACAAGTACAGTTATGAGACCCAATTGTATTGTTACAATAAGCATTGGCATCACAAGAATGGGTGTTAGTTGCGCACTCGTCTAAATCTGAAAGGAAACAAAGTTGTTGTTTCTGCATCGAATCAAGTGAAATACTGTATATTCGAGGTTGTCAAGATAACATGAGACGATGAGTAAGGTAAATTTTAAACGGAAGCGATCGCATTGAAGATTCTCAGTCAATAAAGGTTAACACTTTGGCCACAGTTGTGCAATCCAATCATTGGGAATTTGAAGAATGTTGCCGTTTTATAGCACTGAAAAAAGGTGTTGATTGACTTGCCAAAATTTAAACGACATAACCTCACATACTGTATCCGTGCTTGAGTACTTTGAAGCAATGAGAAACTAGCAAGACTTAAAGACATCGTAAGGAACTGTACATGTTATAGAAAAGTAAACAACAAAGCTAAGAGAAAATGTATGGCTTAAAATCAGTGACTCGAAAAAAACCTTTCATTACCGCCTTATTACATAGAATCGTTATCATTTTCATTTACCAGTGCACCATGTCCCATTTCCGGTATAACCTGGATTACAAGTGCAGTTGTGAGAACCCATGGTATTGTTGCAGTAAGCGTAAGGGTCACAGTTATCATAGCCGGTTGAACACTCGTTGATATCTTAAAAAGAAGAAAAAACCGGCAGTGATCGTTAAAAATTGACGAATTGTTTTGTTAATTGAGGCTAACTATGGGCATGAGTCAGTGGAACGGCGATGTAGTTTGAAAACGTAAGTAATGAGCTTCTTGCCTCAAGTAAGAGAATTCAAGAGAGCCTTGGAATCTAGATTCAACGACGTGGAAACCGGATTCCAGGTACTGGATTCGATTCCCAATTCTAACCGTTAGCGGGAGGCCACACGCAAATACCTTCGCCCAGAAAAGAATACAACAACATGCAAATAAAGGAATTTATAACACGGTTTTGTTTGAAAATCAATTTTTAAACTATTGCGGCGCCCAGAAATGGTAGCAATGAAAAGCCTAGAACATTCGGCGAAAAACGAGGCTATGCCGTCAACATTTAAACATAATGCCAGCTAGACACCATTGAACAAAGGCAGCCCTTTTCGTGAAGAAACTCACCAGTGCAATTTTGTCCATCTCCAGAAAATCCAGAGTAACAAGTGCAGTTATGAGATCCGATGGTATTATTACAATAAGCATTGATATCACACGAATCGGTATTATCTGCACATTCGTTAACATCTAATGAAAGAAACAAATGTAAAATATCTTAAATCGATTACATTGGGCCAGATGTAGAGGTCCATTTAATATTTATTTGATTATTTACTTATATATCAATTTATTTATCTATCTAGTATCTTTATTTATTCATCTATTATTTAGTTCGTTATTTATTCAAACCACAAAATAACTGAACCCGTTCATTTTATAGCACATAACACATTAGATGAAGTCTAAATGTGAAGAAAGCAAACTCGAGCTCACAGCGGACTTAACCTTTTTTGTTTTAACGAGCCTTCTAAAACTGTACAAGTACTATACCAGAAAAAACACGTGTCAGATCTCTTGAACGAGTGAATATAAAATCAATCTTGTCCCCAGGGTCCCCAGGGCGTTTCCCGGTAAAAGTCTGGGGACCAGGTTGGTGGGAAACTCAGAGTAACCCTCCTCTAGCTCAGTATGGTAACCTCGGGTCTGAGACAGTCTCCAAGAACTTTACAAAGGTAGGCCTTACCGGCCCACTCTCTTATACCTATAAAAGAACAGAAGTTGATACTCACCAACACACGTTGTCCCATTTCCAGAGTATCCAGATACACAAGTGCAGTTAAATGACCCCACGGTATTGTTACAAAAAGCGTTAACATCACAATTATCTGTCTGGGCTATACACTCGTCAACATCTAAAATGAAATAAATAATAAAACACGGGCTGAATGATAAACTGTCTTCTGTACGGCTCTTTTTTTAGTATTTCATATTTTAAAACAAACTTAAGGTAAAAGGAAAGTGAATAAAGCAGAGAAAAAGCTGATCAGAACTGTTCAAGCTGTACTATACAGACAGACAGACAGAGGGAAGAACAAGTACGTAAACTAAAAGAGGGACAGGAGGTAGAACTTAAATAAAATCGTTAATATCTAAAGAAGAGAAACAGTTAAGGCAACAATATCTTTGAATTAGACAGAAACAGAAAATCAAAGATAACCTTTCACGTACTAGTTCGATTTAATTCCATCCGTGTGTGTAAACATTTTATGTAATTTGACAAATAAGTCATGTAACAGTAGGCGATAAAGAAGTGAGTCAGCTGTAAAATTCATTTGACAGTAAACATGGTCCTCGCTCACCTGAACACGTTTGCCCATCTCCAGTATAACCAGAGTTGCAGGTACAGTTGTGTGATCCTATGGTATTATCACAATAGGCATTTGCATCACAAGAGTGGCTGCCGGTTGTACACTCGTCAATATCTAGAAAAGAGAGACGGAGACACCATTACTTGATGAAGAGCAGGAGTGAGAAATCGAATCGAAACCTCGGAATCTTTATAACAAAGTGCTACCGTTTGACTATAGTGAAACAAAATATAAACAAATAAGTTAAACTAAAAACGAGGAATGAAATCTTTAATCATTTTCTTAATTACCAGAGCAGTTTCTTCCATTTCCAGTGTATCCAGCGTGACAAGTACAGTTGTGCGATCCAAGAGTGTTGTTGCAATAGGCATTGACATGGCACGAATGGGTCATGGTCGCACACTCGTCAATATCTAAACAATATTTATAAGCAATTAAATGTGAATGCAGAGTGATAAAGTAATACGCCTTTAGTAGGCCATTAGGCCATACTGGCGTCATTTTAAAACTAATACGACCAGAATCTTCCATGGTTTTGGTTTCTTGTACATATTAGGGCTTTTGTTATTTAAAACTTCCTGGGATATACAAAATTTATATAAGAAAGAAAAAAGAAAAGGATTCCAGTCGTAGTAGTAAAATGATGACATCGCGCAAATGGCATCGCGTCGCAGTTGCTGCTAATTGATATGAATTAAGAAAGCATCCTAACAACAAGAGGGCGGGAATCGGAGTGCAAATTGATGATGACAAGAAAGTTCTTTTATTTAAAAAATCTTCGCTGACTTCCTATGAGGAATACACACCTGACCCTCATCAAGACAGATATGTCTAGATAGATATGTATGTTTATCTGTGTTTTTCCTTTTGGCTTTGCAATTGCTCCCGCAAAGTTTTATGTCCTTGTGACGTTTGTTTAGGCAGGACAAAATTAAGCTCTAATCACTAGTGACGAAAGTGATAAATGAGCTTTTAATAAGTGTTTTACAACTTTATAAGAATTTCCCCTCTTGTAGTTTTAGTTGTCGTTGCTTATTTTTCGTTTTGTTAACTGCTTCTTGTTTTTTTTTAATGTGCTATCGGTTGAATTTAATTTTGTCTATTTATAGTTGATTTGTAATAGAATATCAGATCTACCAATAGAAAATATCATTTTTACCGCAGCATGATGTTCCATTTCCAGAGTATCCTTCGGTGCAGGTGCAGTTAAACGATCCCACAGTGTTGTTACAGAAAGCATTGGAATCACAATTATGATACCCCGTTGTACACTCGTTGACGTCTGAAACGGAGGTAAAAAGATATGCATTACATATTAGCATGCATTTTAATTGAATGATTGCTGCGTATTTAGCCTTCCATTTCAATAGCTGAACTAAGCATCCGATTTAAGTGGCCAGAATCAAAGGTTTGTGGACAAAGCTGACCGTCAAACAGTTTGTCGAAACTTCATGATCAGTATTTGACACCAACTTTCCTATTCAGTTATCGAATCAATCAGATTTGTTATTTCGCCCACAATTAAAAAAAATGCCGTTCGATTTAGAGCGTGAAAATAAAGACAATTCGCGCGTGTTTCATTTTTTATGAATTTGACACGATGGTCAGACCTATGTGACTCGTGATGCTCAATTTGGTGAAAGTTGGGACCGCGGGCTATAAAAATTTTCAAGGCTTCACACAACCAAGACTCATGCTCACACTTTCCGTGCTCAGTAACGCATTGCTGAAAATTGGGCATATGTATATTCTATTTCATTTGACCAATGCAAAAATATTACGATGAGCACGTTTGTTTTCATTAACCTTCACATGTTGTTCCATTTCCGGTGTATCCCGGATTACAAGTGCAGTTGTGGGACCCAACGGTATTGTTACAGTAAGCGTTGACGTCACAGTTATCGGTGTTGATTGCACACTCGTTAATGTCTACAAAGAAAAAGAAAGGAGCGAAATTAATGACTAAATCACTGTAGAACTTGAGTTAAGGCCAGTTTTTTTGGCATCCTCTACTTTATAAGCCTCACCAAACGGTTTTAAGGCTGTTTTTACTACTGTTTAATTATTATTCTTCCACAAGTTTCTTGGAGGAGTGATAAAGGTAAGGCTCCAAAGTTAGCTCTAAAGTTTGAACAAGAAAAATTCGAATTTTTTAACGTCTTCTCTCAGTTCTCTTACATCTTTCCCGCCCGTTTAACCACCTAGCCTGGTCAGATTAGATTTAAACTGTCTTTTAACCTGCCTATCAAGGTATGGCTTTACTGAAGAGATTTGGCGCCGCAAGAATCAACTTTCCTTGCAGATAAAAGAACTCTCTAAGAGATCATAAACCACTCAGCACACCAAAACTATTACCGACAAAGTAAATAAGCTAACGCTCAAAATATAAATTAAAAGACATTTACCAGTACACAATGTTTCATTTCCAGAGAAACCAGGACTGCAAGTGCAATAATAAGATCCAGCGGTATTATTACAAACAGCATTGGCATGGTTACACGTATGGGCGTTAGTTGCACATTCATCGGCATCTAGAAAAATAAGTTCAAAGAATAAAAACGTGCTTTATTTCGCATGAATTTTTATAACATTCTTAGGACTACTGGCTTATTAAACTGGCTAAACTATGGAGCGGGGGATACGCATATAAAACAGTCAGACTCTCATTTAGCCTCCCATGCAGACGTTCTTAGGGGTACGTCACACGTTAAAAACGTCTGCGTGGGAGGCTAACTCTCATTAAACCTCTTAATCATCATCATAGTTTTTTATTCTAATTGGAGACTAGCAGCCATAGTTCCACTTCTGCCTTGTTTTGAGAGGTTTCCCTTCGTGATTTATCCACGCTTGAAGTCTGTTTCTAGCCAGAGGAGATTGTAACTTAACTCTGTTCTAGAAGATGAGGCTGTAATATTTACCAGTGCAGTTTTGTCCATCGCCATTGTATCCAGAATAACAAGTACAGTTATGAGATCCAACGGTATTATTACAGAATGCATTGGCATGACATGAATGAGCGTTAGTTGCGCATTCGTCAACATCTGAATAAAGAAAATATTCAAATATACATTAAAGGGTTTATCGAATAACGCTTTTATTTCCTGGAGAAAAAGCAAAACCACAGGGACAGAAATAAACACAGTTGGTAAAGATAGAATTTGTCCAAAATTTCTGTCTGTATACAGACCACGATAGTTCTACCCAAAAATCATTTTTTTCATCACTATTTATCCCACGCAAATCATGCACTCACTAAGGATAAATTCTTGTTTTAAAGATCGATGTTCTATTGCTCTGCATATTCTGCTAAGGATAAACATACGCACTGAGCCAAACGTAACGAAGAAGACAAACAGAGCTAGTTCATGATAAGCTCAAGTAGCTTAGTATCTTGCATTCCCCTCAATCACAGTGTTATCAAAAGTCAAACTAACGTGTGAAATATCCTCACCTATTATGCTCCTAGCCTGGTTTCTAATACATCTTCACAGGCGCGCGCACACTTTTTTTATGCGTATTGGAAGGTCATTTTTAAGGGACTAGCAAGAGCTGGGACGTAATGTAAGTGGGAAACTTTTGATCTGTCATGTGCTTACGCAATGAAAATTCTTGTCTACGGGGAAGCGCGAGAAAATTTTTCTTTCTTTTTCAGCTTAATATTTACCAAAGCATACTGTTTCATTTCCAGAATATCCAGAACTGCAGCCGCAGTAATAAGAGCCAGCGGTGTTGTTACAAACGGCGTTGGAATGGGTACAGGTATGGAGATTTGATGTACACTCGTCTACATCTAAAAGGAGAAGGAAAAAAAGTTGCCCACATGTACTTTAGATGACTTTAAGAAAGCGTTTAATGTTTTTCCAGATATAAAAACGAACACTCCAAAAATTAAAGTATAGGTACTGGCAGTGTTTTTTTCCAGATATAAAAACGTATACTCAATAAATTAAAGTATACGTATTGACAGTGTCAACACTTAAATGGAAGTAAAAACAACAAAAAAAAAGATACAAAAACAATCAAACAAAGAAGCGAAACAAAAAGAGGAGAGCGTGTGATAAAAACATTGATAAGAACATGGTATTAAAAACTGCTTATAGTCAGTCAAATGAAATTAAAAGCCGCACAAGACTAACTTTACTTCCTTTGGTTATACCAGTATATATATACCGGTTTATTTTATCGGCAAAAGATTTATATTGCTTGAATAGATGTTTTCTCTATTCGTGCAGTGAAAATGAATTAGCATTAGCCTAACCATTCTCCTACTGTTTGAAGTTATTGCAAGAGATTATATACCGTAGAAGCTAAACGCAGTGCCATTTCATTCTAAACATCGGTGGCAGAGGACACACTATTAATGCAATGAAGATTTGTTTATACAGAAAAAACCAACGTTTTGTCAAAGCATAATGGCCGTTTTCACAGCAGAGAAAGATAAAACGTCAAAGCGGATTTAATCAGTCTGGTATATTTTCCATCTTAATGTGAGTTCCAAATTGGCCTTGCCACGTCATATTCACATAAGACAGATGTGTCAGGTCTCGAAGCTCTGGCGCGGTTACCAAACCATTGAAATGGCGGCAAACGCTTACTTGATGTTAAGAAAAGGAAACTTGAAAGTTCTTGTTTACTACTTTATTGAAAAGCTTTAAAATTTAGCACTCTGGAAACGCTTCAGAGCCGACCCTTGAGGGGTCGTGCATCCAGTAGTATGTAGCTGGGGTTAACCCTCAGAAATCCAAAATGAATGGAAAATGAGAGAAACCTTTTTAGTGGGATGATGATTAGGGTTTTGCTTTTCTGTGTGTAATTTTTCCACTTTCGATCCCTTATTCCTCTTTCATGTTCCGATTCCTGGCACTTTGGGTGTCATATAACACACCCTTTCTCGTTCTAGGCAAGTCAGGTAACAACTGGGATCAGTTTATCCGTCTGATGTGAATTCAAGACGAATTATCCGTTTAAAAAGACGGATAAACAGACGGATGAAATCAGACGAATTATCCGTCCAAATTGAACATCGTCCCGTTTTCACTTCTAGATGGATAATCCGTAGACCTGTAGTGTTAAAACGGCTAATGTCATTTTATATATCGATACCAAATGTCTTTGTTGTCTCTCCACATAGTTGTTCATTCGACTCGTTGCCACCTAATCCGCTTTTAAGAGCCAATAAAGGCAATACTAACCATTGCAATATGTTCCCGTTCCGTTGTATCCAGGATTACAGGTGCAATTGAATGATCCGATGGTATTATTACAAAAAGCATTGGCATCACATGAATGGGTATTGGTCGCACACTCGTCAACATCTATAGGGAGAAATATGGGTAAATGATAATGACAGATTGACAAATCAAGAATAGCGGGCAAACAGAGATATTATAAGTCCTTTCCGCATTTAATCCATAGATGCACAAGAGGAAGGGGGTATGGATTCCAACTAGTGATGGTCATTTGTCCTTGTTTTGTTTGTTTGTTTGTCTTTTTGTTTCATCTTAATACTGAAACAGTTTTGTATAACACGGCAAGGACCATGATGGGTTTTGATGTATGGATGTGGTGAATAGCACTTAGTCCGCTTGCTTTTCTGTATAATCAGTATGCTCGCTAAGCCAGCCAAAGTCTACGCTCCCTGCAGCATCTTTCTCTAAACTGGTCAATTCAGCTCCAGCATTCAATGCTGGTTTTTAATCCATCCTATAGTCGCCTTGTAATTAGTCAAAATTAAGTTCAAAATTGTCTTTTCATTTTGGTGCCTAAGCTTATGTACGTTTTTCTGAGTGATTTTGCTGCTATAGTTCTTGCATTCCTCATTGGGCATGGAGGAGCTTAACCCAGCACATATGTGGCATGGGCTTCAAGTTTTTGGCGGGATTTGTTACTCGCAAAGCATAGGACCTAGTGTTTTTGTTTAGGCTGCAAAACTGTAGGACGAGGAAACATAAGGCGAATATCTTACCGATGCAGTTCTGTCCATTTCCGGTATATCCAGACATGCATGCGCAGTAATGTGATCCAATGGTATTTTGACATGTTGCATTGGCGTAACATGAATGTGTGTTGCTGGTACATTCGTTTATATCTGAAAAAAAGAAAGCAAAAGTATTTAAGAGTGAATGAAACCGTAAACTCTATGCGTTCACGGTTTGAGCCGGGGAATAACCTGCAGAAGCGGGTGCATGTATGAGGACCGCATTGTTGAGTATCACGTTGATCCCATCTCTGGGCAAGATCTCCTGACTTTTGTAGACACTGATAAACCGTCGAAAAAACGCTGAAAAGATGTACAGCATAGACGTTTTTGAGAAAAACAAGGCACTAATTTCAATTAATACATATCTAATTGTCTTTCCATTTTGGTTATATTGGTACACTTTTTGGAATCCTCGTGAATTCTTTTTCATTTTTTTTTTCTTGTTCATTCGAGAAAGATCTGAACTTCATGGAGAGCGCAATAAAATCTACAAACCAAAATAACAGTAAGTGTACATAAGTTCTTGTTGTTCCGGCATATTTTTGACTGGTGAAATACTATAATGTATTCCAAATACATTCGCAAATGCATTTTGGTGAACTCGGCTTCTCCGTCGAAACTCTGGCAAAAAGATCGAGCACTGATCTAGGGGTGACTTTCGTAATGCATGGGATTTTATGTCAATTCTGAGGTGAAGTCATTTCTTGATGCCTTAACCCATACAAAAAGTGTTCCTTTAGAGTTATAAAAAAAGATATCAAACCAGCTTCATCAGGGAGCACTATAACCGAAAAATTTTTGAGCGTGAAGACTTGAAAAAGTTGGCCCAATTTTTTTAGGTTTCAGTCCATGTTTATCCTTGCCATCATTAGCAATAGACGTTAGGAAACAGATTCGGTGCCTAAACTCTTCAAACAAACCTGGACCAAATGATGCGAAGACGGATTTTAGCTTTCCAAAACTAGCAAATTGCATAACATAGCCCTTAAAAATCACAGCCCAGAAATGTCATTACCACTGCAAGTTTGACCATCTCCAGAAAATCCAGGAGAGCAGTTGCACGTAAAAGATCCCAAGTTATTTGTACATGACGCATTTAAATCACACCGATGAATGTTGGATGTACACTCGTCGATATCTTGAATAAAGAAAAGGAGAGGCAAATGAGGAGAGTATTTAAACTAACAGAGTAATACTACTGCTTTAAACTTTTTTTCGTGCGTGGAGTGGAACTGGGATCCGGATTCCAATCGTTGGTGGGATTGAGGGATTCCTTGAGCTGTATTCCGGATTCCAAACGCCACGATCATCACAACCGGGGGGGGGGGGGGGGGGGGGGGCTTGGGGGTACTTCCTTATAAGAGGCTAATGGGCATGTGCCGCTGGATGGGGTCGCATTTTCACGACTGGGTTGACTCTCATGGAGTGGCATTTTCAATAGAGTTACTAGAATGGGGTCGCACATTTTCTGATTCTTGGGATAAGACAGTTCTTCATATTTACGGTTAGCAAACGTACCAGAATGTTTGTATTGTAAGTGACAAAGTAAAGTGTTCTTCATTCAATGTAAGGCCTGTAGATCCACAAATAGACAGTGACTAAATTGGGATCGCGAAAATTACACATTTGCCCAAAAGTGACTAAGAGGGGGTCTATAATTGGCCACAGAATGGACTATAATGGGGTATGGGCTCCGAGAGGCCAGTGGCACAAACCCCCCGGGTCATGACGATTTCAGATTCCAAAAGAGAAATTTCCCGGATTCCGGATTCGACAAGAAAACATGTACCGGAATACGGATTCCTTTACATCGGGGCAAAGCAATGCATGGAAGTTCATGAGTCATGCTGTTACTTACCACTACACCAAGTCCCATTTCCGTAGAATCCATCCTTACAGACGCATAAATAAAACGCTTCGGTGTTGTAACATGACGCATTGACATGACATGTGTGGTCGTTATTAGCACATTCGTCAATGCCTAGCATGGAAAGAAAAACGAATATTTGAGAGAGTGAAAAGGCGGTTCTTACTTGGTGTTACTAAAGCAAGAATTCATGCTAGTAGTTGCAAATGTCTATACTGAATATAACCATAAAACCACGAAACTGTGTAACGACTGTAACTACGAAAGCATGATGAATCCACATCTACTAATTAGCACTAATTAACATAAACTCGTGCTCCGTAACACCAAGTTGTAACCGAAAAGGCTAAATTCCTTTAAAGTGCCTGTCAATTTTTCCTTTTGTCAATTGAAAGAACACATTTAATACCTCAACTTACAGTGGTGCACTGGTTTTGTTTGAACCCAGACTGGACACCTTATTCCGGCACTGCACTATATATTTGGTTTTTTTCTTTATATGCAGATATTTTCCCTCTAGAGCCACAACCCTATGCGATACCTTCATGATAAAACACTGGATTTCCGGCATCTGATTATCCTAAGGGAGACTGGCATATACAATCTCTATTAATTTGATACCCACACGAGATCCCCACCGACTTTCATGTATATGATTGAGTACTCTCCCCTGGGGAGCCCCTCTTAATCCACTCGTAACTTACACGGTTTGGGTAAATTGTTGGCACAATTCAAGCCTGATAAAATAGTTTCAGGACTGGCCTTCATCATATACACATAAAATAAGATCCATTTTGATATCCAGAAATGGTAAGAAAAATAAAAGAAAGAAAGAAAAAGAAAAGAAAAGCGACAGTGCTTGCGAAAGCCGTTGGACAACTAGCCTCCTAGGGAGACGTTCTTAGGGGTTCGTCACGTCTGCGTGGGAGGCTATTGGACAGCGGACTTCTATATTTTTTTATTGTTTTAACTTTTCATTTTCTTCCATTTTACTTTTGGACTTTTAGAATGAGTTTAGGGTAAAAAATTTTCGCCATTGAGTCCCGCAAAAGGTTAATTTACCTTCAACCTTGTCATGAGTGTTAGCTGTTGACTAGCTGTTAATTTTTTTTGCGTTGTAGGATAAGCAAAAGCAGTCATTTTTTTAGGTACAAGGCAGGAGTCCCATATATGGGCTCCTGACAAGGTCCGTAGTTACAGTACATCGATGCTGCCCCGGTGTTGCAAGCGGCCTTTGAGTTCAATTTTTTTTGTCGCAACTTTTATCCACCGTTTGCACGATGGTGTCATTTGACTACCACGACCAGGATCCTTTTCGTTCTTCCTTGGTAATAACAAAAGACTGAATAAGAAGTCATTTCATTACGTTTCCATGTAAGTACCCCAGGAAAAAAAATAACATTAATGACTTTCCTGTGCATGATTGCACTCAGGAACAAAACTTTGGACTTTCACTTTTCTTTCATCGTTCGACAATGGAAATGGCCGTCACTTTCAAGAAAGATAATTTTGCTGCCATGGCAATGTGACGTCACATTTCTCCTCTCTATTAATTGCACGATCAAGCAAAATTTTAAAGGATTTTGGTCGTAAATACATATAGTAAGCCACGTAGTAAAATGACGTCATCGTGAAATGGACTTTTAGGGTCCTTCCTTTAAATAAATAATTAGTAAATATCAATGTTCCAGATTGTAAAACTCTGAAATGACACTCAGCAGAAAGCTTACCCGTCGCAGCATTTACAGCCGTTGAATTCTTGTCATCCCGATTTTCGTAAAAAATAACAGCTACAGTAATAGCCAGAGCTAAAGAGGCTATAATACAGGCTGCAAAAAGGATAGCCCCTGTTAAGTACACCAGTTTATTGGCTTGTTTTGTCGCCCCAGCTGTCGTTACCAGAGGTTCATCGTCGCAGTTGTTTACACCGTACATCTCTCTTCAACCTTAGCTAGTTGGGCTTACAGAGAGGTACCTATGAAGTGGAAAAATGATCTAGAATTGAAAAGAAAAGTTCCATATAAGTATTGGGCGAAATTCACTCCCCCAAATAGTCAGGTGGTATGAATACTTGGGGCCTCCGCCTTACTTGGTCCAAGTTTCCAGGAAAACTAAGAACTTCCGAAAGTCTTAATTCTTTCAAGAGAAATATAGGAAAGTCGACTTATCAGGACTAATAAACTAATGCATATATGTCCCCCGGCCGGTACAGTCGTATTCCGACTGTAGAAAGTAACTATGTATGTATAGCTTCTACAATTTTAGTATTAGGAAGATTTCAAGAACGTATATACACAATTTATTTATTTCTTTTTCATTTTCATTTTTCTTTTTAATTAGGGATACTTATTATGTATGTAAATAGTCTGTGTCCTCCATTAGCTGTATAGCTAAATACTTCCACATGAATAAAACTTTAATTCATTCATTCATTTATTCATTCATTCATTCATTCGTGAATTTCCAATAAAATACTCATGATCATCAAGTTCTCGAGCCTCATAAAATCCTTCTCGGAGATTGCTAGTAGTTCAAGTTTTTTTTTTTTTTTTTTTCAATTCGACGGAGTGAAAATATGTTGACTAGACTGTCTGGACCCATGAAACC